TCTCACTCTCTAACCCAAAACCCTCTCTAGCTCTATCTGACTCCAAATCCCTCCGATTCTGTCTAACTCGAAACCCTTTATCATTCTTTCTCATCTAGAAATCCTCTTGGTTCCCAGACCCTCTCACGACTGCAATCTCAAGGTAACCCTAACTCTCTCTATCACTCTTTTATTTTCCAGAGTTTATCAAAACGTTCTTTCAATTTAGCTTTGCCGAACCTCACGGCTGCACTCTCAAGTTGGTTTTACTAAATTTTATGGAACCTCACTGGGTATGAAAGCTCCAAATTTTTTCAATTATTTCAATTAATGTGCTAGCAGATATTACAAAGTTTCAAATTCTTTCAAAAGTTTAATTTAGATTTAGATTTTTATTATTTAAATTTTGCAGAATCTAATGGTGCTTTGGTTTGTTTTTAGAAGAGGTGCCATGTGATTGGTTGAAGTTGTAGAAAAAGCTGGGTGAGAGGACGGTGGGAGAGAAGTAAAAGTCAGCTCCTTATACACTTTTTTTTTTCTGCGTGAATTTTAATTTTGTTTTATTTATTTTTCTGCTTAGTTCTATTTGTATTTTTCGAACCAAACTTGAGACCTCCTGTTGGGTTCTCTAATCTCAGCCGCCCACTTCACCCATTTTCTCCAATTAAAGCTTCTTTGGTACATGTAAGTATACTTAATTTCCACTTGCATTTAGGCCGAAGTTGTTAAGTTTCAGTTTTTTCAGAAAATGTGACTACACACGCATGTTGACTGTTAATTTTGCACAGGTTGTGGGTTAGTTTTGAGGTATAATTACATGGTTTTAAACTATACATATCCAGGATTGTAATTTGGTTGAAGTTTGATACCTGAGTTTGGTAAGTATGACTACAAAATCTGTCAAAAACAGGGGCTGCACTTTCAGGTTTGAAACACTTACTTTGGACTGCCTTATCTTAAAAATTAGAGCACCGTTTCTGTCAAATTTTATATGGTTTCAAAGTTTATTTAATCAACTTCAGGATGCATGTAAATTGGTAGATTTTTATGGAGTTTAAGGTGTTTAATTCTGAGTTCAAAGTTTAATACACAGTAGCTGAAATTGTGTTAGTTTCATAGATGGTGGAGCAACAACAGTTTCCTAAAAGCTCATGTCAAGACATAAGTTGGTGGTTCAATTGATGAATGTCAAGGATCTTAGCATAGCTCACGTCAAGAGCCATCTTCAAGTAATTAATTTGATCTAGATTTCATGATCTTAGCATAGTAAAATTCAATACCGTGATCGGAAATATATAAATCCATCAGATTCATATATCTGATTTATGTTCTTTTCTCCTGGCTTTGATTAAATGTATAGGAGCAAGAAGATAAAGACTCCAATCAAGGTAAACTTCATTTTTACACACAACTACCTACTTTATCGTAATACCAGAAACATTAACATATCATATATTCTCTGTTTTTTGTTATTAATTTAATAACAGCACTTACAGTGTCAATTTTGCAGTCAGAATATGATGACTTGTCTATTTTGATAGGATCATCGCTTGCTGTTTCTTTCATTGTTTCTGAGATTCATCGAGTAAAGGATTTTTTGTTTGTTTGTTTGTTTGTTTATGTAGCTGTTGTAGCATGGAAATCAGGGACGCCAATGGTGATTGAAGGTTTATAAAGAGCCATCCATGTATGATAAATTTTTAATAACACTAGGATCTAGTAAATATGTAATAATTTTAAATGTATTCATACATTTAAGTATATGGTTGTATTTTAAATTATTGTATATAGATACTGTTTAAGTGGATGTACAATTTCTATTTTGTTTTCAATTATTTCTTTTAATTTAATAAACCTTGACAGCTTTTATTGTCAAGAAGCGCTTTTTTTATATATATATATATATATATTAGTTTTTTGTTCTTGACGGCTAAAATTTGTCAAGTAAACTCAATTAAACGTCAAGAAACACATTAGTTGACAGTTAGAAAGCGTCAAGGATGACCATAAGTTGACGCATTTTCCCATTTTGTGATGGTTTTTATTTGTCAGGGAATATGGTGTTTGGTCCTAACCTTGTGTTCCTAATTCCCTAATTTGATCATTTGTTGTCTAACCTAAAATTAAGGATTAGGAACCCATTAAGCATAGAAGAACATTTTAAACAACCAGGTATGTATCTAATCCCTGTTGTCGAATGTCCATACATACTCTTCCTATTCATAGTTCAATTCGAATTAAAGTATGGTGTCTACTCTTAATTCAAACCAAGATAGTTAACATGCAAGCCTAAATGGTGATCAATCATTCAAACTAGCATATTAATTTATAAGCATAATGAATAAGAACAAAAAACATAATTGAAACTTGGAAACTAATTAAACTTGAATACTTAAGAAAGAATGTACATTACAAATAAAATTAAAGTAGAACTGGAAAATTTAGTAAAATCATTTTGTTACAACAATTGACAACTTGAAAGGAAACTAAGAGAATTTGAGGGAGAGAAGGGAAGGGAGCTCTAGAGAAGTGTTTGAGAGCTCCCCCCTTGGGGTGTGTTTTGAAACTTGAAGACTTCTCTATTTATAGGGCTAAGAGGGAGGAACATCATGATGAAATCCCACACCATCCTTCATCTTTTGCTGCTGCACCTCAAGCTTTCCTCACATGGGTTCAAAGGTGTTTAGTTGTGGCTGCCTTTTGCTGCCAACCCATGTGGTCTTCTTTTGGTTGCTGAACAAAAACGAGTTTTCTGAACCAGGCTTGGTGTAGGAAGGCCAGAGGTTTCAACACATATCCAATGGGGCTCAAATTTGGATATGTTATACTAGACACCCATTGGAACAACTTCTATGAAGAAATTATTCCCATCGGAGCAGTACAAGTGTACGTTTTGGGCCTTGCAAGTTGGCTGCCGAACAGAGACTGGAATTTATTTCATTTCTTTTCTTTCCTTTTACTTCACATGCATGCACATGCTTTTGCCAAAGCCTTTTGCCTTGTCAAGCTCTCTCTCTAACTCAAAACTTGATCTCCAGCTCCAAAGTGATCTGCCAATTCAATTCCCACGTTCAAAGGCTGAAGCAAAATGCCTCACATCATTCCTCATTCTTCTCTCTCTCCTTTCCACCATGGCACTTTAACCTTTGTCTCTTCCTTGTCCCCTTTGCCATGATGTATCTTTGTCTTCACAAATATGCTCTTTGTCTCAGAAAATCCCACTTAACAAAAGTAATTTATTGTTACCAAATGGCATGGTAATAAGTAGAAATAAGATGCCATCAAGTGGAGGTGAAAGCGGGCCCAAGACAGATTTCAGAGCTGTGGTAACATGCTGGATCAGATGGAAAGGCTATACTTGTCCAATGAGCTCAAATTTGGATATGTTGTAGTCAACATCCATTGGAACAAGTTTCATGAGATCTTCACCTCATCCGAGCACCAGAGCATACTGATCCAAGGCCAAGAATTTGACCTACGAAAATGAACAAAAACAGAATTTATAACCAATAAAGCACTTTTATTTCATTTTCATTCTAACCAAGGTAAAATCTATGAAAACACAAAAAGAAAGTAAAAAGCTACAAAATGTCAAGAACTAACTCAAAATGTTAGGTGAATAACATGATAAATCATGTGTAAAAATGAACCGAACAGTCCTACTCCTTGCAAGCCACATAATCAAGTCTTAATGTTTGAAGGAGAACCACTGCATGATCCTACATTTTATAGAAGTATTGTTGGTGCCTTACAATACTTAACTTTCACAAGACTTGACTTATCCTATGCTGTCAATAGTGTGTGTCAGTATATAACTGCTCCCACTGAGATACATTTCAACCTGGTCAAGAGAATTTTGAGATACATTCAAGGTACTATGAATTATGGGATTCACTTTACTCATGGTCCTTGGCAATTACAAGCTTATAGTGATGCTACAAAAATGTCACCTGTAGAATTGTAAGATATTTGAAGGCCAAGGAAATAGGTAAGGCGACCCATGTCCTTCATCTCAAACACAGCTCCTAAATCATCAGTCACTGTCTGCACTAACTGTGCATTGGAACTTGTCAAGATGATATCATCAACTTATAATAATAAAATGACAATATCAGTGCCTTCATGCTTGACAAATAAGCTGGGATCAGAATGAGATGATTTGAACCCTATAGCTGGTAAATATCCTGTAAATTTGGCATTCCATGCCCGTGGAGCTTGCTTAAGTCCATACAGAGATTTATTCAAATTACACACAAACTGAGGATGCTTGGCGTCTTCAAAACCTTGAGGCTGCCTCATAAAAACTTCTTCTTCAAGCTCCCCATGTAAGAACGCGTTCTCAACATCCAATTGCCTCAAAGACCACTTGTGCATGGCTGCGAGACTGAGAATTAACCTCACTGTTGTATGCCTTACAACAGGACTGAATGTTTCACTGAAGTCTAAGCCTGGTTCTTGACTAAAACCTTGAGCTACTAGTCGAGCCTTATACCTTGCAACATAACCATTTTCATGTCTCTTGATTTTGTAAACCCATTTGCTACCAACTATGTTTTTCTGTTGAGGACAAGGGACCAAAGACCAAGTACCTTGCATCTACAATGCATCAATCTCTTCTTGCATTGCTTGAAGCCAAGCAGGAGACTGAGATGCTACTTTATAGGAAACAGGTTCATTCTCTTCATTTATAACAGGTAAGCTGGTATGATAACAATGATAATCAGGAAAAGTCTTTTGTTGGCTAATACCACTCTTAGCCCTAGTCTGCATAGGATGAACATTAGTAGGCTGAGAACTAGATGACAAACTAGATGCAGAAGAATTATCATCACTAGAAGAGGCAATAGGCAGAATAGCTTGTAACTGCTGATCAGTTAGAGTATTAGAGACTGCAGCTGTACCAATATCATGTTGCATGGAATCAATTGGACCAATATCCTGAGGCATTGAATTCTCTTGAGACAGTGAACTATTTGAATCACTAGAGACTAAAGTGGGCATAGAAATCACTAGTGGAGCTGTAGTAGAGGAAGACATAGACGATGGCGCGGAACTAGATTCTGTAAAACCTTGAAAAGGATAGCAGGTCTCATCATGGACTACATGTCTAGATATCACAAGTTTTCCAGTATGAAGATGGTAATAGATAACTCCTTTATATCCTTGAGCATATCCAAGAAAAACACAAGGAGCAGTCCTAGGTTCAAGTTTATGTACATTGTAAGGTCTCAAATAAGGATATATTGTAGTCCCAAACACCTTAATATGTGTAATATCAGGAACACTACCATAAAGCCGATAATAAGGAGACTGAGAAGACAAGCTCTTACTAGGCATTCGATTTATTAAATAAGCAGCATGAGCAGTGGCATGAAACCAAAATGAACTAGAAAGATGTGCAGCAGTTAAAAGTTTGATAGCGGTTTCAATCAAGTGCCTATTCTTTCTCTCAGCCAATCCATTTTGCTAAGGAGTATATGGACAAGAAAACTGATGTTCAATGCCCTTAGAAGCCAAAAAATTAGTAAAAGCCTTACTAACAAACTCCCCACCTCCATCACTTTGAAAGCACTTGATATTGGCATTAAACTGATTACCAAGCAAGGCATAAAATTTGAGAAACATAGGAAATACTTCTGATTTATGATAGAGTGGATATAACCACATATAACCATTACACTCATCAACAAAGATTACATAGAATCTATAGCCATCCATAGACTTCACCCTAGACGGCCCCCACACATCGCTATGTATTTTCTGAAAAGGGATAGAGACTCTTACATGAGTAGTAGGAAAAGGAAGTTTGTGCATTTTCCCATGAAGACAAGCAGGACAAACAAAAGATTGACAATCATCACTGTATGAGATGTTGAAATCCTTGAGCATAAGCTGCACCACTTCATTAGTTGGATGCCCCAACCGTTGATGCCATAGAGAAGACTTAACCCGCTGACCAAGAAAAGCTACGGATGAACTTGAACAAGAATTTGAATGCTTTGATTTCTGCAGAGAAGACCTCACAGAATTTGGGATGGGATATAGACTGTGACTACTCTTGCCTTGGAAGAGGATTTGCTTGGTGAACTTGTCCTGTATATAAAATCCAGACACATCAAATACAACATTACAATTGTTATCTTGACACAATTGGTACACAGATAATAAATTGGCCTTGAGTTGAGGCACATGAAAGACAGAGGGAAGACGTAAAGAAGAATTAGCACAATGAAGTTTAGCATTGCCTATATGATTTATATGCAAACCTTCCCCATTGCCCACAGTAACATTCTCAGTAGAATCACAAGCAGTCACATTGGTTAGCTGATTCAAATTAGACACCATATGATGTGTAGCACCATTGTCTGTGATCCACACTTGATCTGGATTATAGGTTGTCTGAGCAGTCATAGCGATCAAGGAGGGAGGAGGACGCTGACCTTGAAAGGCATAGTTAGACCGATGGAAACAGTTTAACGCTCCATGACCTTTCTTACCACAAATCTGACACTCAAGCATAGAAGCAGAGGCAGCATTGGATGGAGAAGAATTGCGATAATAGCAATTAGCAGCTGTATGTCCATGCTTACTGCAAATTTGACACTCTAGAATAGCAGATTTATTTGATGAAAACCAGTTGAGGAGGAACCAGTTCTCCCATAGACACCCTTACCACGGCCATAATTGTCATTGAAATTAGAACGAGAACCAGAAAAGTTCGAAGGAGCACTCCCAATATAGCCAATTGGTCCTTGAACTGGTGTAGCAAGCAAACCTTGACCAGAATGCACGGAAGAGGAAGAAGCACCGCCACAGCTCA